TTTTCGTAATTTTGCATAATCCTAAGACACAAGAACTTGGCTRTCCTCCGAACATGGTGGATTTTATGATTGACACGCATAAAAGCAAAAAAACCAAAAMAATTATCGACAAAAAGGCAGCACGAATYGCAGAGTCGTTGAAGCAAAAAATGGATTTGCTTTTGGAAGAGACGCAAGATGGATYGRTACACTCTAASTCACTTTTGCRAACTCAAGTGGACACACTTTTTCTCCAGGTAACTACGATACATTTCTTAGCTTTTTAGATTTGGTATATTCACCCACTAATCATGTGCTTACTATTATTTTCTAGTTCAGTCATAGCATAACCATACGTACATGAAATCTATTGGTTTAATCTTGTATGTAGGCAAATTGTCTGTTACTCGTGTTTAGTTTATATATTACTATTTTTAATATTTATTTTCGTATTTGTTAATCTTCCAGGAGATCAAAGGAACTCGTTTTAGAATTGGGAGTTTATCAGTTGGTGGATCTTCTACCTCTGTCTCGGATCTTGAAATGCAAGAAGTGTTACAAAATGCAAAGCTTAAGATCGCAGAAATGGAGAAAGCACAAGCAGAACAAGCAAAGGCGCAAGCTAAGCAATCAAAGGCGCAAGCTAAGCAAGCAAAAGAGTTCGAAGATTTGAAGAATGAGTTGATGAAGTACTTGCCAAACTTAAGTGAAGAATCTAATCCTGTCACCGAAGATGATAACTGATAGTTATGTTTTATTTACCGTTTTCAATGCTTTAACATTTTATTCTATTTTAGCAATTGAACCTTTAAATTTCGTAATTCCCATATTTAAGTTTCTTATTTTTGTTTTAGAAAATAATATTTTAATTTCAATTTCATTTTTATATTTATATTTATTTTGTTCAAATATTAGTGAAATTTTATTTTCGACCATTACAGTAATTATTGACCATTATTTTTTTATCAGAAATTATTGACATTACTTTTGGTCAATAACTAAAAGGTGTTTTGACCAATTGTTTGGTCAAAAATATTCCGACCACTATTTTTTATCATAAATTTCTAACCATTATTTTCGGTCAGAAATGATTGACTATTAGTTTTGGTCAAAAAGTAAAAAATTTTTCGACCAATTGTTTGGTCAAAAATATTCTAACCATTACTTTTGATCAAAAATTACTGATCAGTATTTTTGTTCACAAGTTAGTAGACATTTCGACCAAATGTTTCGTCAAAATGGTTTTGACCATTACTTTTGGTAATAAATTTGTTGACCATTTTTTTGGTCAGAAAATTTTGATCAAATTTAGACCAACTGTAATGATCAGAATTTGTTGACCATTTTTTTACGAAGTAGTGATTTTCGACCATCGATTCGTGACGAACATGATTTGATCAAAAATTCATCTTATTGATCAATTTCGTGGTTAAAAATGTGATATTTTCTTGTAGTGATAAAAGTATTTTTCTTTGAATTAATTTAACATATAATTCAAAAAAAAATTATTGAATTGGTAATTACCAAATTTGTTGTTATATTATGAATCTCGTTCATGTTTAACTCTGAGTCCAAAATTCTTGTCTGACATTTTAACAATACACAAATTTTGGTTGATTACTTGATTTTAGATTGCATGTTAAAGAGTGGGATTTTTTTTTTTTTGGGTCAATAAAGAGTGGGATTTATATCACAATTTTCCTCTTTTTGTAGTATTTTGTAAAGGAAAAACAGAGTAATGATTTTTTTTTTTTTTGCTAAAACAGAGTAATGATTTAAAACAGGGTTCATCTGCAATTTTCTAATGTTAAAAGGGTAATCTTACCAACAAAAAAAAAAAAAGTTGGTGAGGATTTTTTGCAGAAAACTCTTTAAGATGCCTATTCAGTAAAAACCTTACGCATGCGAAGTGTCGTCTTCGGTTCATTGATTACAGCATAAAAAAAAATGAATAAAAAAGAAAATCGAGTTCCATTAAGAGGATTTATCGGGAAATGTTGAAATTTGAGACCATTTCCAAAGTCTGGTTTAGACCTTTCGGCTTCGTCTTCCTTTTAAGTAGACCAAACTGAGAGTGAAAGTTTATTTCAGATTTTGTATTCTTCGTCTCTGTTATTATTCTGCCATAATCTCTAAAAGAGTTCCTTGTCTTCTAAGCCAAGTTACGTATTTAGTTGATTTCTAACGTATCTCGGGTTGCTCGGATGAACAATCTTACAGAAAGACCAAGAGTCAATATGGAAAGGAACGAGAAAACAAGTCTGATCGATAGAATATTTTCTTGGTCTATCAAAGATGTTTTCAACAGTGATCTCTACAAGCATAAGGTTAAACATTCACTCTCTTTTTAACCTTTCAATAATAGCTCATAACTTTGGTACTTATACTTATACATCAATGGTGTTATTTGTTTTTTTGTAACAGTTAAAGAGAATATCCGACAGATTTAGAACCACTGATGAATACTTTCAGTGTTTTGTTCCTCATCTGCTTGAAGAGACTCGAACCGAGTTTCTATCAAGCTTCAAATCTGCATCGAAAGCTCCTGTCTTTCAAATACGTTCTATGGAGGCAAAGGGATCAATCGGAAGTTCATCAAACAGACTGTTCTACGATATTACACTCAAGGATGCAGGTACTATTTTAGGAAAGTACCAGCCAAAAAGTGGAGATCTTATTGCTCTCACAAAGGAAAAACCAAGAAGAATCGATGACCTAAATCCTTTACTTGTCGCCAACGTTTTCTCCTCGGACGGTGATCTTATGATCTCTGTTCAAACGTCTAGATCGGTATCTAATCTCGAGGAAAAATCAATTCGCTTTGGTGTTTTCCTCATGACTTTGACGACAAACACAAGAATTTGGAATGCTTTGCATAACGAAGCTGGAAGTAATTCTACTCTAATCCAGAGTGTGCTGCAACCAAATACTCCGGTACGTGTTAAGAAATTAATCTTCTTTGCTTTTGTGAATTCTTTGAATGGATTTAATGGATTCAGTTGAGTAATTTGTGCCTGCTTTTCTTATGTTTTAGACTCCAGTACAATCTCTTTGTTGTGGAAATGATTTTGAGGGTTTCGGTTCTAACCATGTTTTGGATATAATCCGTTCAACGAAACTGAACTCTTCCCAAGAAGCTGCAGTTTTGGGCTGCCTTAAGACAAGTAAGTGTCATCACAAGAACAGTGTGAAACTGATATGGGGACCTCCTGGAACTGGCAAAACAAAGACGGTGGCCACTCTTCTCTTAGCCCTTCTCAAGCTTAAGTGCAAAACAGTTGTTTGTGCTCCTACAAACACAGCTATTGTCGAAGTTACATCGAGGCTCTTATCTTTATTTAAGGAAAATTCTTCTACTAACAGGCTTGGTAATATTGTTTTATCTGGAAACAAAGACAGAATGAGGATCAACACGAACGATCATGTTCTTCTCGATGTGTTTCTTGATCATCGCATCAGTAAACTCGATAGCTTGTTTTCGCCATTTTCTGGATGGAAACAGAGATTGGAGTCAATCAAAGACTTTCTTGAGAACACAGAGGCTAAGTACGAGAGACATGTATACGAGTTAAAAGAAGCTCAAAGGTTGAAGCAAAACGCTGAAAAGAAGAAGAGACAACAAGTCCTAAACATTCCTACATTAGCAGAGTATGTAAAGAACACGTTTCATGTCTTAAGCGAAGAATTGGAGACGGATATGGTTGATTTGTGCACGCATCTTCCAAAGTCTTTCATTACATCTGAAAATGTCAAGGAAATGCTCGCTGCCCGTCAAAATCTTCAACGAGTCAGATATTACTTGCAGGAGAATGCTTCTAGAGATGATTTCATAAAGGGAAGCTTCAAGTTTGATTGTTTCAAGAGATTGATTCGTGTTGATTGCCTTAAGGCCCTAAGTTTGGTTCCTAAACGTTTTGAAATTCCAGACTTGTTGGAAAATGGAGATACTAGGAAATTCTGCTTACAACATGCACATATAATCTTCTGTACAGCCTCTGGTGCAGCAGAAATGAATGTGGAAAGAACTGGAAACATAGAGCTTGTTGTTGTTGACGAGGCGGCTCAGCTTAAAGAGTGTGAATCTGTTGCTGCGTTGCAACTTCCTGGACTGCGTCATGCCATTCTAATAGGAGATGAGCTTCAGCTACCGGCAATGGTTCAAAGCGAGGTATTCTCTCTTA